TCAAATGTCAGATTTACGACAAACTATTCTAAATGGACCTACTTTAGACATACCAGAAACAAGGTTCACGGAAATTGAAAAACCTGCTGTAGAAATGAAATATATAAATCCAGTTAATGGAGAAAAATTTGACCCAACCGATATCGATAAAAACCATTTTAAAGAAATACTTACCAGTAGTTTTGTTCAAGCAAAAAAGAATTTAACATCTCTTCAACCAAAATATCCAATGTCTCAACAACCAGTTGGTTTATTAAATGAAAAAACTCCTAAATACTCTCCAAAGACATCTCCTAGTACTTATAAAAATTCATCAAACATGGAGCTTTCTCCTGCTATTCAAAAAAAATATCCTAAACTTGCAAAACCAAATCAACCACTTGGAAGTCCAAGTCAACTAACTCGAAATGGTCTTACTAATTCACCATATAAAACACATAAAAAATTATATCAACAAGCATCTTCTCCAGTATTATCTCCTATTGGAAAACCACAAATACAAACTTCAGGATCAACACAAGTTAAACCAAATACAATGATAAGTATTGAAGAAAAATTTAAAAGAATTAATTCACAACACAATACTACACCAATTCCTACTGTTAAATCATCTCATTCAATCAGAGATGACTTTAATTTTTCTAATCCACAAAATTCTTTAAGACCACCAAAAACTGCTCAAGCAATGATAGAAGAAAAGAAAGAACAACCAAGTTATCCAATTAGTGATTATTATAACAGTGATGAAGATGCACGTTCTCGTAATAGAAAAGCTAAAGCATGTTTACAAATGGATTGGACAAAAAAAGGTAATTTAACACCATTAATAAATAGGGCAGACGGTGATGATCCAGCAAGAATTTTCCAAATGGCACCAATTGTTATAGGAGATGAAACAGAATTCATTGGAGATTCTGCTAAGCAACAACAAAGAAGAAATAGATCAATGGCTTGGAAATAATCTTTATACTAATTTTGATTAGATTTTTATAATTTTAAAATCAATTAATATATGTTTTATATAACATAAAAATGAGGGTTTAATAATGAAAAATAAAAAAAACACGTCATCATATAAAAATAATTAAAAAGTTATAATATTAATTTGATAAATATTACTAAATTTTATTAGAAATAATTTCTTCTTGAATTATTTAAATATTAATATTATAACTTAAAATAGAAATTAATAACATTATAAAAACCCTAAACGATGACGTGTAAAAGAAAAATATAACAAAACAAATTCATATGGATAACACAGGATATCATAAAAAGAAAACTCCTGAAAGAATATGTGTGATTGATGTGGATGCTGGCACTGAAGGTGATTGTAAAGATTTTCTGTCACATGAAAATAAACCACCAAAACAACCTTTTCGTTCTTATATCAGTCACAAATCTTCATCAACAAGAGGACAACGTCTTTTTTTAAAACATCATCTACATTCTCAAACTCAAAGTTCTCAAATGCCTCAAAACCTTTTATATGAAGAAAGAAATAATCCTAATCTCTTTACAAATTCTTCAAGTAATCCACAAAAATATTTTCCTGTTTTTCGTCAAAACTTTCATACAAGACAAACTACTTTAAATGAATATGGATTTCCAACATCAGTAGAAAGACATATAAATGAACCATTTGATAGATATTCTATTCATAAAAATCTAAATTCATTAGAAGTTCAACATAGTGTTATGAATGAAAGAAATCAACCACAAATGGAACAATTTCATCGATCTACTCAAATTCCTAAATATCAAAAAGGTTTGGTATCAACTAGATATTGTCATTCATGTCAACATCGTATACCATTAATATTAAATAAATTTCCACAACAAAAAATTTCTGAACAAATTTCACAAAATGATTTAATTCAGTCAAGAGAACATAATCCTATTCATTCACATCAACAAGTACCTACGTTAACTCCTTATTCTCAAGAACAAATCAAAATTTCTTCTAATCAACAACAAAAAAGTTATTCTCCTTATCAATCAATTTCTTATACCACTCCATTTTCAAATTTACAACAAAATCGAATGACTACAGATTATTCAAGTAAGCAAAAACAAACAGATTCTATCGATTTAGCATCACCTGATAGTTCAGAACTTCCTCCAATTGATAATAATGAATATTATTCTATGAATCGCCTTCCTCCAGGAGGAAATCATAATATAATTCAACATAATTCGATTCTTAAAACATCTCCAACTCAAATAAATACTTCAATTAATAAAAAAACAGAAACACAAAAAAAAGAAGAACAAAACACCATTAAGACATCTTTAGAAAAAATAATAAACAAAAAAGAAAATAAAGAACAAAAAAAATCTATTCAACAAAAATCACTTCCTTCATTAAAAGAAAAATCAAAACAACAACCAGAACAATTATTAAGAAATTCTAATACCACAATTACTCAATTAAAAACACAACAAAATGACAATGATAAATCATTTATTGTTAAAAGTGATATCATTAGTTCTGAAAAAAATGAACTTAAGAAACCTCGTGATACAATAGTTGATAAAGAAGAAAAACAAAATGTTTCTAAAAAAATAATTCCAATAAAACAACAAGTTATTAATAATGAAATATCAGTAGGTGGTATTCAAAAAGAAGAAAAACATGATAAAATAGACAATAAATTTAATAAAACAGAAAAAGTATTAGAAGAATGTAATGATGAAAAGAATTATTTAGTAACTTATTCTTCTGAAAACATCAGTAATTATTTTAATTTCAATATTGAAGAAGAAGGAGCAATTGATTCAACTGAAGAAACAGAAACATTTGAAACTAATTGTACAATTGAAGAAGATGATTGTTTTGATGAAAAATATGAATCAAGTTATAATGAATTAATGAAGTTATTAAAAAAAATTCATCCAATAATCAAAGAAAAAGAAGCAAGAAAATTTGCAGAAATGATTGTTAGTTATTTATTAAGATTTGGAAATGATATTGATTCATGGAATTCAGGAAACGAGTTTAATATATTTGATAAAACCTCATTACAAGAAAATGTTATTAATTCATTTATTAAAGAAAAAACACTACAAGTTAATATTTATACAAATGTGATTTTATATAGAAGAATAATTCGTTTAGTTAAAAATATTAAACTTAATAATTTTATTGTTCCTATTGAACTTCAAGAATTTTATTTAAAATCTGAATGGAAATTTGCTGATGATTTAAGGCTAATGATACAAATAGCAAAATATGGAGTTGGTGTTTATGAATTATACCTTAATGATTCTTTATTAAATTATTCATTAACAATGAAAATGCATTTAAGTTTGTGAGTATTATTTTTATTTATTTTATTGGAAAGATATTAATGGTTTAGATACTAACGAAGAAAAATGCAAATTTCTTGAGTCCAGAGTACAAGATTTACTTAGTTCATTATAATAATATCGTTCATTAATAATAATATCTAATGTTTATTTGTTTTATTTATATTTCATTGTATTTTTAAATTGCACATTTTTTTAATGTAAAACATACAATAAATTTTATTGCTTTTGCTTTCAAAATACTTCATTGTAATTGCTCCATCTTGCATTTTAGTTAATTGTAGGAATGCATTCTTTTTAATATTGATGGACTTCCATGCTTTGACTGTAGTAGTTTTATCTACTCATTTTGACTCATTCCATCTTCTAAAATATCACTTGTTTGATGACACTTCCATTTTTTGATGTATTTGTCATTAATTTCTTTATTTCTATTACTACTTCTTTTCTTTTTTCTTTTCTATCCCTTCATTTATTATTTCTTCTATTTTTGTTTCATTTATTTTATGAATTAATGTTTTTTAATTCTATTCCATATTCCATTCTTACTGTACCATCTATCTAATATGTTATTTCCTATTTCACATTCTCTATGGATGAAATAAAATAAACAATAATAGATAATAAAATAAAGAATAAATAAGAAAATAGTTAAACAAATAAGAAATAAACATTAATAATAATTGAATTAATCATTTCTTCATTCTATTATTTTTCTTTTATTTTGTTATTCATCTCTTATTTTTATTTCTTTTATATTATTCATTAATTATTTATGAGTCACTTTTCATTTTTTTATTCTTTTAAATGATTATTAATATCATCATTTAATATACAATTTTATTGTTTATTATTTATGAAATTATTTTATTGTTATTTAGTATTTTATTTTTATGTTGAATAAAATATGATAAATAAATATAAATCATAATTAATATATCAAATTGATACAATTAAATATTATAAATAAATGAAAATAATAAGAAATGAAATAAATAATAAAATAACATATATTTAAATGAATAATAAATGAAAATACAATAAAATTATTCTTTGTATTTTATCAATTTATCATTGTTTTATTTCATACAGATTTATTATCATTATAAATTGATTAATATTGTTATTTATTATTATGAAAATAAAATAAAGAATATAATTAAGTTTATATTGATTCATCATTATTATTCATCATTTCTATTTCAATATTCTTATGATTTATTTTATATTTGAATGAAATAACAACTATTATATGAATTAATACAATAAAATAAAAATAAAGAAGAGAGAAAATAAAAATGTGAAATGACATGATGTTTAAAATAAATCAGAAAGAAGAAATAAACAGAAGAATAAAAATAAAGAATAAAATTGTTACAAAACAAATATAAAGAATGAAATATCATTTAATAACAGATGAAATATCAATTCAACATATTGAAACAATCAAATAAAATGAAATAAATTAAAAATGAATAAACATAACATAATAATAATTAAATAAACAATGGATGATTTTATTCCATTTCATTCATTTGATATTTCATTCTTTATTTTATTATCATTTAATTTGTTTATTATGTATTTCTTATCATTTAAATTATAAAATAAACATTCTTTTTATTCTTTAATAATTCAATTATCTTCTTTCTTTATTTCTTCTTTAATCTTCATAAAAATATTCTTCAAAATCAATATTTTGGTATTGTTTCATTCTTCTTCAATTCTTCTTCACATCCACAACCATAAAAACAAAAAACTCCAAATGATGTAATTGATGATGGAATATTAATTGATTTTAATGATGAACATTCATAAAAACAGTAATCTTTTATTTCAATTACACTTGTTGGTATATCAATTGATTTTAATGATGAACATCCAGAAAAACATCTATTTCCTATTTTACTAACACTTGTTGGTATTTTAATTGATTTTAATGATGAACATTGAAGAAAACATCTATCTCCTATTTCAGTGATTGTTGATGGAATAATAAATTTATTAATATCTTTCTTTTCAATACTCTTTCCATTTATTGTTTTTAAATTTTCTGGTATTTCAATACTAATTAACACTGGTTCATTCATAAATATTCTTTCTTCACTTATATATTTTACATCTTCTATATTAATTGTTGTTAATGATGAACATCTTTCAAAACAATAACTTCTTATTTCGGGGCAACGAAAAAAAGCAAATAATTGAAAAAGAAGAGAATGAATGATATAAAAGAATAAAAAGAAAGTAAAAAGTAGAAGAAGATGAAGAAAGAATAAAAGTAGAAAGGAGAGAATATAAAAAGAAAGAAGATAAAGTGTAATAAAACAAAAGAGATGATAAAAGAAGAAAAGAAAGAAAAAAATAAAGGATGCAAATTTTATTGAAACAAATAAAAAAAGTGCAAAATTTAATGATGCAAAAATTAATGATGCAAAATATTTAGCAACATTTTTATTGATGAAAAATATTTTGAAATAAAAATAATTCATCATTTGATATTATTATATTTGATAATAATTTATATTATATATTAAATACATCATATTTCTTTATTATTTATCTTTCTTTTTATTATTTCATATATTACATTATTATTCATTCATTCATTCATTTATATTTCATTTATTAAATAAAATGAAAATGAAATTGTAAAATAATAATCAATTAAATATTCATGAATAATAATTTATTAATATTTAATAATTGAAATAACAAATAATAATGTAACAATAATGATATATTCAATATATTCTTTATTTGATTTGTTCAATATTAGATTATTCTATTTCATTATCATTTCATTGTCTTCATTATTTTATTTTATTTATTATTTCATATTCATTTATTATTTTTTAAAATCAAATAAACAATAATATTGATATTCATTCATCATATTCATTTAATATAATAAATATACACACCATTTAATAATAAATAATGAATAAATAAGAATGAAAATATTGATTTATTCAATATTTTATTCAACATAAAATCAATAAAACATATAATTTGATAATACACAAATGAAATAATAATGAAATATACAATACTCAAGAATTAATAAAAAAGAAATAAAAAGAATAAATGAATATAAAATTGATAAATAATAGAAGAAAGAAATAGAAAAACAATGAAAAACAAATAATATAAAAAGAACATAAAGATATAAAAGAATAAAAATAAAGTAGAAGAAGAATATAAAAATAATAAAGCACAAAGATGTAATAAAAGAAGAAAAG